ATAGATAGATAGATAGATAGATAGATAGATAGATAGATAGATAGATATACATAAATGTATGTATGAATATGCATCATATACATATATACATATATATGATGCAGGGGGTAAAAAGTTGAAAAAATACTACAAAGCCATAATAAGGTTCCCTCATATGAAACAAGAACATAACAGAAGGTGAAACTAATTTGCTCCAGATGATGATCCACCTTTAGTCCGCCTGTCAGTGTCGACTTCATGGGATTCTTTAGACGTTTCTACACCAAAAAAACCCAAAAGCAGCAGAAATGAAATAGCTCTGAATGACTTGAGGATGACTCTCTCATCAAGGGTGACAAACCCTGGGGGGGGGGGGGGCACTCACAGCCTCCCACGTCAGCCACTTCCTGTTTCTGCCTGGAGGATGACTCAGCACGTTTCTGAGGTCTGCCCAGAAATTCAATCTAATTTGGTTTAATGTGTGAAGCCTGAGCTGCTGACAGCTTTATTGGCAACTCTTCTCCCCAAAAAACGTTTTTTAAACAAATGTTTGATAATTTACAGGCTTGTTAAGACTCAATATACACAAATGCTGAGTGCTGCAGGCTCTTCTTCTTTAAGGCTAAATATCCACTAACAAGTTTTTAAAAAAGGAGCTTTAGAAAGAAAGACAAAGGGGATAAATGTGTGCTGTTTTCCTGTTAAGATCTTTTTTTTCCAAGTATGATTTGCTAACGTATGTTTGTTCAAATTAAAGTTGAGATTCAGAGCTGGGAAAGTCCATTTTTTTCCCCATTTGTTTAATTAGTTTTTGGTTGGGATTAACAGGCCGGAGGAACGCTGGAGGTAGAAATGCTGAAAAAACAATACAAGAAAACAGAAAACTTTATCTAAAAGAAAACAAACGCCGGGCTGAGGTGGTAAGATAAATAAATAAACTAGGAGAGCAAAAATATAATAAGATGGATGAGGAATGAAGGGAGGCGAGAAGATCAGTGATGCGAACTCCAAAAAATAATGAAAATAAAAAACTGAAAACGCGGAAAACAACCTTTTCCAGAGACCACCAGCACAGCCACGGGTTGTTTTTCACTCTGAGGAAGCACAATAAACATCTGTCTCCTTATGAGCTTTCGGTTGTTGTTTTACCACTTGATATGGGGAGCTGTGCTTTTTTTTTAAGATCCACTGTAAGGTGGCTAACGCTAGCTAGCTCTGGAAAGACTCCACGTTTGATTAGCAGCTCAATAACTTCTGCTTGGACGACTTTAAATGTTTTAGTCAGTTTTATGACAGGTTTGAATTCTTCGCAGATGATGTCAGACTTTGGGAAAAGACTCCAGAAAGGAACTGGCATCTCCCTTTGTTCAGTAATACAACCCAACGCCGGCCGTAGCTTTTAACTACGTGTAATAACTCCTTAATATTCTATATAGTTTGACATTTCTGTAAAATGTTGCCATAGTTGGAGGATGTAGAACCAAAGACAGATACTCAGAGACTTTCTACGGAGGGCTAAAACGGACAGAATTATAATGCATACAGATTTACATATTAAATATTATATATATACATGTAAAAGTAATATAAAATATTTCCTTTTTTGCTTTTAAGTGCATATTAAACGAGCAGAAAATTGTTGTTTTCACTCTCTAATGAGAAAGCTGAAAGTTTCTCTTTTTTTCTGGCTAAACGTCTCTCACGGGATCCCCTTTTGACATATAATTGTGTTACTAATACAACATTTCTTAACAATAATTCACTGAGTCTGCCCGGAGCCACTTTTCCGACTTCTGTTTTCGGCCCTCCGCGAGCTCAAATGGACGTTTGCGGTATCAAGAAATCTCTAATAGGACTCCTGAGATGAGAAGGAGACGCGCAAAGTAACCAAAACCGTAATGCCTCCGGCCACAACACGATCAGTTAGGAGGCTCAGAAACGTCGCCAGGCCCCTTCATGGGAAGGTTCAGGCCTCTGAGGGAAATGTAACACCCGCAGAGTCAGTTGTGTTTGGCAAAAGCTTTGTGTTTGAGAGAGAAACTCTGTCTAATTCTGAATTAAACTGTAACTTCGCTTCCATGTAGATCATGCAGTGCAGGGATTTTGACAGAGAAGAAGAAACAGCATCATTCAGCTATGGAAACAGAAAACTCTCCACTTCCTTGTTATTACTTGTAATCTGCTCTATAATAAATTAATAATAAATTAACACAACTAAAGTTTGCTAATAAACAGGGGCGGGTGGTAATGTGTTACATCCACTTTCTAATATTCCCATAATAACTTTTTGGATAAATTGTAGCTTTGACGTAGTTTCGCTTGATTTTATTACTTATTTATTACTTGAAACTCACATTTTTGCTCTGTATCATTGAGCAACTTTCTGTTCTCGGCTCTTATCTTTAATCAGATGCCACCATCACATGACCTGGCTCCACCAATCAGACAGTGTTCGGCAAACATACACATGACCAGACACACAAAAGAAGCTAAAATGGTGGCGATTCAGAGCCAGAAGAGGATAAACATCCCTTTGTGGGTCATTTTGACCTGTTTATGTTTTTGTTTTTTCTCTATATAACAGTCTTGACTTGAAAGGCTGATATTTAAAATAAAACGTGTACAATATCAATCAGTGGGTATCCATCCATTGGCATTCATCCTCAGATTGTTAAAACAGCGATTAGTCGGCACTTTTTTTCTCAGACTCAAGTCAATTTTTGCATAAAAACATTTACTTTCACTTAAGTAATATAATCAAGCACCAATAATCTTACCCAAGTTAAGGCTTTGGCTACTATAAGCACCTTATAAGTATGTGTTAGCTAGCATTAGCATTGCTAACCAGTTTGTTTGTTTTCCTTACAACTACAGCCTCAAAAAATCAAAGAAATGAAAGAAGATACTCCTTTTTTGTATTATTTCATTGGATTTTATTACAAACAAACAAACAAAACAAAAAGAAAAGAGTAAAAGGGTCATAATCGACATTATTTTACTGCCACTCATCATATGATCGGCAACACTACGTACACAGTGACACAAACCCAGAAATCAACCGAAAATCCTGGAAATCAGTCAGTGTAAGGGTTGTTTTTTGACGCACAACTCTTGTTATCAGTGAGTCAGTCTTTTGTCTAAAAACAAAACTTTTTTTTTGTTATATGGGATTTTAAGCTAACGTCTAGCTAGCATTTCTGTTCAGTTTTAACTGAAAACAGACGGCTGACAGGATTTTACAGGCTGACATCAGTTTCCAAATTTATCTTCTCAACTTTACATTTGCTCAGCTTTGCTGATTAAGGCTTTTTTTTTTTAAACGATGCAAAGTATAAAAGTCCAGTATCTGATTTTCCAGATAACAACTACATATCTTTAATGGACTAAGGTGTTTATAGAGGCTTAAAGTTACATACGGCCTATTTTCTATAGTTTATTTTTATCTCAAAAGCTCCAAATCTGAAACGAGAGCAAGAAAATATTGTTTTCTTGTAATGTTTCTACTTCTGAAGTTAGCTCAACTTCTTCGTTTGAAGAACAAACATGGCGACCGGGTGCGTGACGTGTCATCAATACTGGTGTCGTTTTCGTCATCATTTTCTAGTTACAAAAAAAATGACGTCTCTTTTGGTAGAAGCTCTTTCGAATAGCAACAGCAAGAAACAACGGCAACATCGTCAACAACAATACTCATAATGGGAGAGTAAAAATACGAGAGAACACGAATGAGCTGCTTAAATATGTAAAGTATATCACAGGAATTTGTAGAAAGAAAAAGAAACTTGGAGGGGGAAAAATGGAGGTCTGGAGAAGGAAAGGAAAGAAAAGGAGGGGATATCAAGAGGTGGTCGACAGGCCTTAATAACACTGACTTGCTTATGAAAGGTTAGAAACATTCATAAGGGGGGGTTTCTGAAAAATAGCATCGCTACGAGGCCTTTTCTAGAATAACCCCCGAAATACCTCAAAGCTCTGTACACAAAGTGAAACCAGGGGAGAGCGGGATGAGATACCGAGGAATACTTTGCGAACGAACGAGTCCTGAATACGCATCATACCTTCCTGCATGTATTTTGATCTGAACATGTAC